ACTACTACTACTACTACTACTACTACTACTACTACTACTACTACTACTACTACTACTACTACTACGACACTACTACTACTACTACTACTACTACTACTACTACTACTACTACTACTACTACTACTACTACTACTACTACTACTACTACTACTACTACTACTACTACAACTACTACTACTACTACTACTACTACTACTACTACTACTACTACTACTACTACTACTACTACTACTACTACTACTACTACTGCGACGACGACGAACCTTTTCCTTCCGCCCTTTTTCTTTCCCTCCTCCTCCTCCTCGTTACCTATTTTGTCAGATCCCCCTGTCAACAGACACAACGTTCGCCAATGACGGCATCAGCTACCCACTGCCCCTTTTCATCCTGCCCTCTCCCCCTCCCTCTTTTCTCGTATCATTTCTACATGTGCTGCGCTCCTTCCTGTCGGGATTCCGCGAAGCCAAAACGGCCCAAGACGCCCCCGACATCGTTCCAAGACGGCCAACCCCCTCCAAAAATTAGCCTGGCGAACGACCCAACCATATGCAGTTGTGCGTACCGCAATTGTGTATATTATCATCTGTGGCACTCCCTATGGAGCCACGAAACGTGTGAGGGGTGTGCCGAAATGGGTGCGGCGGACGCATGTGGACGGTGGCAGTGGGGCCTTCGGTGGAGCTCCCTGCGGGGCAACGAAAAGTGTGAGGGGTATGCCGAAATGGGTGTGGGGGACGCATGTGGACGGCGGCGCTGAGGCCTTCGGTGGAGACCCCTGTAGGGCCACGAAACGTGCGAGGGGTGTGCCGAAATGGGTGTGGGAGACGCAAGTGGGCGGTGGCACTGGGGCCTTCGGTGGAGCCCCCTATGGGGCCACGAAAAGTGCGAGGGATGTGCCGAAATTTGCATCGGGGACGCATGTGGACGGTGGTACTGGGGCCTTGGGTGGAGCTCCCTATGGGGCCACGAACCGTGCGAGAGGTATGCCGACATTGGTGTGGGGGACGCAGGTAGACGGTGGCATTGGGGCATTCGGTGGAGCTCCATATGGGGCCACGAAACGTGTGAGCGGTGTGCCGACATGAGTGTGGGGGACGCATGAGGACGATGGCATTGGGGCCTTCGGTGGAGCTCCCTATGGGGCCACGAAACGTGTGAGGGGTATGCCGAAATGGGTACGGCGGACGCATGTGGACGGTGGCACTGGGGCATCTGGCGGAGCCCCGTATGGGGCCACGAAACGTGTGAGGGGTGTGCCGACATGAGTGTGGGGGACGCATGAGGACGATGGCATTGGGGCCTTCGGTGGAGCTCCCTATGGGGCCACGAAACGTGTGAGGGGTATGCCGAAATGGGTACGGCGGACGCATGTGGACGGTGGCACTGGGGCATCTGGCGGAGCCCCGTATGGGGCCACGAAACGTGTGAGGGGTGCGCCGACATGGGGGGGGACGCATGTGGACGGTGGCACTGAGGCCTTCGGTGGCGCTCCCCAGAGGGCCACGAAACGTGTGAGTGGTGTGCCGAACTGGGTGTGGGGGGGGGGGCGCATGCAAACAGTGACACTAGGGCCTTCGGTGGAGCTCCCTACGGGGCAACGAAACGTGTGAGGGGTATGCCGAAATGGGTACGGCGGACGCATGTGGACGGTGGCGCTGAGGCCTTCGGTGGAGCTCCCTGTGGGGTCACGAAACGTGTGAGGGGTGTGCCGAAATGGGAGGGACTCACGTGGACGGTGGCACTGGGGCCTTCGGTGGAGCTCCCTATGGGCCCACGAAACGTGCGAGGGGTGTGCCGACATGGATGTGGGGGACGCATGTGGACGGTGGCGCTGGTGCCTTCAGTGGAGCTCCCTATGGGGCCACGAAACGTGTGAGGGGTGTGCCGGAATCGGTTTGGGGGACGCATGTGGACGGTGGCACTGGGGCCTTCGGTGGAGCTCCCGGTGGGGCCACGAAACATGTGAGGGGGATGTCGGGATGTCGAAATGGGTGTGGGGCACGCGTGTGGACGGTGGCGCTGAAGCCTTCGGTGGAGCTCCCTACGGGGCCACGAAACGTGTGCCGAAATGGGTACGGCGGACGCATGTGGACGGTGGCACTGGGACCTTCGGTGGAGCTCCTTATTGGGTCACGAAACGTGTGAGCGAGGTGCCGGAATTGGTGTCGATGGGCCACGAAACGTGTGAGGGGTGTGCCGAAATGGGTACGGCGGACGCATGTGGACGGTGGCACTGTCACTGGGGCCTTCCGTGGAGCTCCCTATGAGGCCACGAAACGTGCGAGGGGTGTGTCGACATGGGTGTGGGGGACGCATGTGGACGGCGGCGCTGAGGCCTTCGGTGGAGCTCCCTGTGGGGCCACGAAACGTGTGAGGGAGGTGCCAAATTGTGTGGGGAACGCATGTGGACGGTGGGGCTGAGGCCTTCGGTGGAGCTCCCTATGGGCCACGAAACGTGTGAGGGGTGTGCCGAAATGGGTACGGCGGACGCATGTGGACGGTGGCACTGGGGCCTTCAGTGGAGCCACGAAACGTGTGAGGGGTGTGCCGAAATGGGAGTGGGGGACGCATGTGGACGGTGGCACTGGGGCCTTCGGTGGAGCTCCCTGTGGGGCCACGAAACGCTGTACTGGGTATGCCGGAAGGGAAACACGCGGAGGGCAGAGGCAAGGAGGGAGGAGCGGGAGGAGAGAGGGGAGGAGGAAGGAGTGAGTGAGGAACGCGGGGCGCTGTCTCTTCGAGACGAGGACCCCACACCACAGGATGGTTGGGAAAAGACAGCTCCAGGACGGCCCAAGAGAACCATCTGCAAACTAACCCTCGGCACCTTCCCCCCAGGCATGGCCGCGAGACCCTTCAACATGCACCAGAGATGCCTCCCTGGATGCCGCAGTGGCGCAAGCAACGCCCAGACCCCAGAACCCCTGGGAAACAGAGTCACCGCAGCCTGTAGCTCACGTGTCTGCCGGGGGTCGGCAGGAGGGAGCGGACCGCTTGAAGAAGCTGATCGAATGGACAGAACAAGTCCCACCGGCCCTCTGGGCCTGGGTGGTTTAGAAGCGACCCCTGTTCCAACTCCCTTCTGCCCCCTCGGGGAGATTCTCAATCACCCGTCCCCTTACCCCCTATCCTGGGGACAGGATCAGGGTGCCGCGCGCAGTCAGGGCGCCCAAGATAATTGCCTCTCGAATTGCCTCCGGGATGGCACAAGCGGGCCTAAGGTGGGTCAAGAGGGCATACAACATGCCTCCAGGAAGCCCCCAAGACGACTCCGAGTGGCCACGGAGCTTCAGAGGACGCCCCCGAGAGCCCCAAATCATTCAACCATGACCCTGTGACATACCCAACCCATGTGCACCAAGTGACCAAATTGATTGACCCACATTTTGTCATGGACGATCCTAATGTGAAAACCGTCATTTGTTGCGCGAGCTGCATGGGGTGCCCGCCCGTTGCAGGACTCGCAAGACCCTCGCCCACCGCGGGGAGGAGCTGGGGACTGGCGGGGGCGTCACGATGAGTCGAGGCGCTGAGTCTGCGCAAATATTTCTCGGGTAGACCCTCCAGCAGCCCTTGAGAGTGGCGGCAGTTCCGCAGATCGCAGCCCCCCCGAGGGATGGTGAGGACTATAGCCCGAGCCCCCGTGGGACGTCACTCCGCTGGACCCCCCCCAGCAGCCCTCGGAGGTGGCGCCGGCTTCGCAGCTCGCAGCCCACAGGCAACGAGTTTTTTTTTGCGTGTGTGCGTGTGTGTGCGAGTGCGTGTGCGTGTGCGCGTGCGTGTGCGTGTGCGTGTGCGTGTGTGCGTGTGCGTGTGCGTGTGTGCGTGTGCGTGTGCGTGTGCGTGTGCGTGCGTGCGCATCGGGTTATGCCGCTGCTGCCCTCCTGCGCGGCCGCAACCGAACCCGACGCCGCCGAGGAGAGCGCGCCAGGGTGCGCCGCCGCGCCCGCGGGCCGCGGCCACGGCAGGGGCCAAGGGGGGGAGGCCTGCTGTCGGCCGCTGCCGAGCTGGGCGACCCCTCGCCGGTAGAGCGCCTCGCAGCCCGCCAGACGACGACGACGACGACGACGACGACGACGACGACGACGACGACGACGACGACGACGACGACGACGACGACGACGACGACGACGACGGCGGCGGCGGCGGCGGCGGCGGCGGCGACGGCGGCGACGACGGCGACGGCAACGGCAACGGCCGACGTGGGATGTTGTTTTTGCTGCTCCCTGCGCCTCCTCGGGTGGGGTCAGGGCGGCAGGGCTCGGTGGCCTGCGAGGCTCCGCAGCCCGGCAGAGCAGGCCCGGGACATGCGATGTCTTGATTTTCTCGGTGCCCTCCAACAGTGACGGGACGCTCTATGTGGCGCAAGCCATGTTGTGAAAGATGGTGTGCAATACATGTCGTGCAGTCTATATTGTGCAATTAATCTTGACCGTCTTGAAGCTGTCCTCTCCACTGCTCGTGCAAACATCCCACCCTCCCACCCGCAACTTGGTCGCAAGACCTCTTCAGACAAGACCGTGACGGTAGGTACCACATGGCACTTGGCCACGACACCGATGCCGACGACGACAGCGACATCGACGACGACGGCGCCGCCGACAGCGACTGCGACGACACCGACGACGTCTCCAATGTTTTCGACGACGACAACGACGACGACGACACCGACGACGACGACGACAACGACGCCGACGACGACGACGAAGACGACGACGACGTCGCCAACGGAGACGACGACGAGGGAGGAGAAAAAACGACGACGGCGACAACGACGATGGAGGAGGGAAGACGGCGACGACACCAACGACGAAGAAGGAGGAAGGACGGCGACGCCGACGACGACACGACGAGGGAGGAGGGAAGACGACGACGACGACAACGACGACGAAGACGACGACGACGGCGACGTAATAGGAGGGACGACGACGAGACGCCGACGACGGACGACGACGACGAGGGATGAGGATAACGACGAGGGAGGAGTGAAGACCACGACGACGACGACGACGACGACGACGACGACGACGAAATAGGAGGGACAACGACGAGACGCCGACGAAGACAACGAGGGAGGAAGGACGACCACGGCGACAACGACGACGGAAGCGACGACGACGCCAAGATGACGACGACGACGACGAGGAAAGACAGAAGACGACGACGGCGACGACGACGACGACGACGAGGGAGGAGGGAGGACGACGACGACGACGACGACGCAAGAGCGCGCGCGCGCGCACACTTTTGTTGGAAACCCGTGTTGCGAAACCTTGTGTTTTTGTAAGTTGTTTGGACGCACGATTTCGAAATCCTTTCGAAACCGAAGGTTTTTGAAGGATTTCGGCATACGCCCGCGACGACGCGCGCGTCTGCACTTCGTCCCATTTTTGCAAAAAGGATTCTCGCGACGGCACACGCGCAAGGGCGTTCGACAGATTTCGACATGCGCGCGCGAAGCCCGTTTGGTAGCATTTTGTGAAAACCTTCGAAAGCCTAGGGTGTTCTTAAGATTTCGCAAGAGCTCGCGCGTAAGCTTTTTTAACAAATCAGTGTTGCGAAACCATGTGTTTTTGTATGTGTTTCGCAAATTGAATTTTGATATCTCTCTGGAACCGAGAGTTTTTGAAGGATTTCGGCATGCGCGCGCGACGACGCGCGCGTGTGCACTTCGTCCCATTTTTTGCAAGGGATTCGTGAAAAAGTGCTATGTTTGAACAAAAAATGTCACCGCACAGTGTTTTTTACAAGGGAACCTCAGGGGGGGGGGGGGGGAAACCGGCCTGCCTGGGATTGTATGATTTCATATTTAGGATGGACGAGTGTGCAGAATATATATATATATATATATATATGTGAAATTATACCATCCCAGGGGGAAGCGTTAAGTCCGGGGGGTAGAGTCTATTCTCTTTTTCGAAAGGAGAATCGATACAATATATGTTGTGCAATATATGTAGTGCAGTGTGTCTAAATACATATATATATATATATATATACACGTATAAGTACATTTGCGAAATAGATATGGTGCAGTCTATGTTGTGCGATATGTGTGGTGCAAACTATGTTCTGAGCGATCTAAAAGCGCGCCGTAGGCGCGATTTTTCCGTGCAATCTATGCGGCGCAATCCAACGGCGGCGACGAGGCGGCGACGGGGCGGCGACGGCGACAACGAAGCCACCAGACCGCCCACACGGCCCAGACGACGGGTGGCGACGAAGCGGCGACGGGGCGGCAACGGCGACAACGAAGCCACCAGACCGCCCACACGGCCCAGACGACGGGCGGCGACGAGGCGGCGACAGGGCGGCGACGGCGACAACATAGCCTTCAGACCACCCACACAGCCCAGTTCCGTAGAAGAGAAGTAAGAAACCGTAAGTGCAAGCACTGTGGGGAACAGTCAGGTCAGCGCTGGGCCCCGAAGGCCTTGCTTGAGTGGCACTGCAGCCGCCAGAGCATTGACCCTGACCAGTCAGCCGTGGAACTGCTGCAATGAGTCAGGACAATACTAGGAACTCCCGGGCATCACCTGGAGGAACTCGGCCAACCCGCACGCTGACAGCAACGTCTTTGCATCGCAAATTTCTCCCGCTCGCAAGCTCCGCCGCACCCGCAACTTCCATCACCCCGAGCAAGACAGCCACCACAGGGCAACCCCACGGGCAACGTGGACCACCGAAGGCAGAAGCACTTGTGCAGAGCCTGTCCCTAGCTACTTCGTTGGTCGGCGGCGTCGGAGCGAACCCATTGCGTTCGAGGCAAGCGTGGGGATGCAGAGGCAAGCAACTGCCCTCGTCTACAGGCCGGCTGTCGCTGCTTGCCCTCTCGCACAGCGTCGCCACACCCTGGGCTGCACGCAAGGGGGACCCCCGGCAAGAGTGACCTTGGGTGCACAGCCTCAGGGGGGCCGTGGGCACGCCCAATCCAGGCCTGAAGCCACCGTACGTAAGGGTATAAACTTTCCAGCCGCCCAGGGGCAGGTGTCCCCGACGGCGAAAAAGTTTATCTTATACCGTTCTTCGCCCGTTAAACCAGCACGGGCCGAGGGCCAGGGACCGAAGGCGGCACGATGCCCCCCGCTGGCGCAGCGGCGCGCGCTCCGGGCGCCGGGCGCCCCCTGGGGCCGCCGGGGGCGGGCGCGCCCTCTCCCGCGGCCCCCGTGCGGGCCTCAGAGGTGCGGAGAGCGCCAGTTCGTGGGCACGGCTGGGGGGGCGGGCAGAGAGGACGGGGATACAGGGCAGTTTCTAAGACATAGGATCTTGAAACATACAGGATGTTTAATGCATGATTCGTTTATGAATAGATTGATGCATGAACTCATCGTTGTTTATAACACTAAAGCCCTGCGTGTTTACTACATGATCCGCACGCGGAGCATGTCTTAAAAACGGCACTGTACTTTGGTTGACGCAACAGGTGGTCCAGCTGAAAGGGGGTGGTGCAATGCATTTGGGGCAATTGAACTGCAAACGTACTGCGCCGGAGAATTGTGCTGCATCGTACTGCAGCCAGTGCATTGCACGCGCAAGTCCAGCAACATATCTGTGCACTGGAATGTATTGCACGCCCCGATGCTGCTGCAACCCCACACATCTATTGCACCAAATCCAGTGCACCACCCTCTCTCCGCTGGACCCCCTTGTTGGGTCAGCCAAGAGATACGGTAACTAGAATAGGAGCAGGCGGCATAACCGTGCCCGCTCTGCGCAAGCCCCGCGGACCCAGGGGAAAGGGCGGCAACGAGTGTCCCATCCACAACACTTTTTTGATTCGCGGGTCGAGAGCGCACCTCTTCCGGTCGAAGCTAAGCGGGCCGCGCGAAGCTTGAATTAACAAAGAGGAGGGGAAAGAAGGAGACCCCATCCACAACACACTGTCGGGGCTCCGCGCGGATTGCTTGGGTCGGCGTTGGGGCCGGGCCCTGTCCCCGGCGCGCGGAGCGAGCCCGGGGCGGCACCGCCAAGGGCCCAGCGCCAATACGAGAAGTCCGCGCGGAGCTCCGAAAGCTTAATTTTTTTCCCCCTGCCAAGGAACACCCTGCTTGCCTCCAGGGTGCCCTGGGTTTCTTGGGTTGTCGATGGATTTTCAATGGGAATCGTGATGCTCCCACGCCAAGAAGCCATGGACCTCCTGGGGTCCCAGGGTTGGGTGTCCTGTGGAAGGTCTCTTGTGGACTGGCCTCCACTGTATGTAGCTTTTTCCTCTTCGACCCCCTCCTCCTCTTCCTCCTCCTCTTCCCTCCCCCTCTTCCTCCTCCTCCTCTTCCCTCCCCTCCTCCCCCTCCTCCTCCTCCTCCTCCTCCTCCTCCCTACTGCGTTGCTGCACTGGCACGGTGGCGGGCACTGTCGCAGGCAGCTGGGTATGATAGGAAAGGTCGTGAGGCTTGATTTCGAGATGCGTGAGGATTCTTTCTCTGATTGGCATCGCTGTCGCTATCGGAACGCCTGTGCCTGGACGAGGTGGGCCCGCTAGCGGGCGACGAATGCAGCCCCTTGGAGCACATTGCTCATTTCAAAATCTGCTCGCTCCTAACAGTGGTCGCAGTTGTCGCACGAGGCGTTATACTCAAAAACAGCGGAATCGGTCATAAAGCGAGCCCCACATATAGCATTGACGACTCAAACGAACACTAGACTGGCATGGTCTCGGCATCACGGGGTACCGGGCTTGGCGCCAAACGGCAACCAACGACCCACTGGGTGATCCAAGCGCACCGCAAATATATTCCATGAGCGCGCTCGAGCAGTCGAACTATGCAAGATCTACTGTAATAAAGCGGACGAGCGCCCAAGGAATTGGCATGATCCGCACAGGCACTTACGCAGGGAGCCATGCCCCGCTAGCTCAGAGGGGAACTTGAACTGGCACCCGAGGCACCAAGTCCAACGGGGGAGGCATCGCTGGGCACGCGCGGTGGCTCAGACCTGGCTCGCGCGAGAGCCCTCCTGACGGACGAGCCGCTGCTCGCAGACAGGAACGTGCCTCCCTGGGCGCGCTCGCAGGCCTCGGCCCGAGTGCTCCCGCCTGCGGCGGTGGCGGTGGAACGCAGGCCCCTCGGGCCTGCTGCCGGCGCGGCGCGAAAGCTGGTGGCCGGCGCTCGGCGGCGTGGCCGAGCGACCGCCGCGGAGGGGAAGGCGCCTCCCTCCAGGGGGGAAAACGCTGTGCAGGGGGGGGGGGCCCAGAGGCACCGAGCGGCCCTGTATGGCCGGGAGGACCCCGGAGCGGCTCGGCCAAGGCGGGTCGGCGATCGGAAGGAATCGGATCGGCGGAAACCGGCAGCCGAGTCGGGGAAGGTCGAGTCGGCGGAAATCGGCAGACTGGCACGCCTCCAGGAAGAGAGCGGAGCCCAGATCATCAGGGAGCCCACAAAGGACGTACGCGCCCAGCCATGTACATGAACGCGGCCACTCGATCCGCGAGACTGGCCGCGTGAGACAAACACTCGGGCAATGCGTACTCCCGAAACCAGCGTGGATTCGTGTACGTGTACGCCCTTCTCTCGCCCCCGACAGATCGGAAGCCCAAGCTGAACGGAATCGGAATCGGAATCGGAAGCCATCGAGATCGCATCGAACCGCCCCGGAGAGCCCTGCGTGGCTGGCTGCCAGGCAGCAAACGGAGCGGCGCGCCTCCGGCACGGGCCAGCGGGCCAGGCCGCGCACGGGGAGGCGGCGGGGAGCCCACACCATCGCGGTGGTCGGGGCAGACGTATTGAGCAGCCTGGAGAGCCGGGCCGCGCCCCTGCCTGGAGCAGCGGCATGCTCCGACGGCCAGGGGGACGCGCTGCACTGCAAAGAGAAAGGGGGGGGGGAGGGAGGAGGCGATCGAGAGGCCCTGTGTGCCCCGTGTGAATGCCGGAGGAGGGGAGGGGGGGTAAGCGGCAGCGTTCCACGGGCACAGCAGCAAGGGCGCATCCTTTACGGTCCGCCCTGCCGTGCAAAGTGGGGCCAGGCCCCGACTCGTGAGTACAGGAGCGAGCGACACATTCTCAGCGAATCGAGGCATGCCGATGGGCGACCTTCGACGGCGAACTCCAGCGTGCCCTCTGCTCATGTGCCGCGGAAGGAGGCAAGTATCATATGCACATCGATGGCAACGACACAACAGTGATGAAAATACGGACCGCTGGACCATTCTGCAAGGTGCCGCAGATTCGGCTGGGCTGTTGCCCCCGCCCTCCGCGACCTGCAGGCGCGCTCCACTGGTCCGCACGCACGGCGCCCTCAGCGGTCTCGCAGCAGCGCGGGCAACGACTGGGTCCGGCGAAGGGGCCTGGCGGACTCCTCGTCGTCTGGCAGCGTCACGAAGGTGTTCCTGATCTCCACGGCCAGATCGGCGTCCGCCTCGCTGCCGAACCGAGGCCATGGCACCCCTGCGCTGGCATCCTCTGACTTCCACGCAACACCGCCTGGGCCCTGGCGCCACTGCTGCTGCTGCGCCTGGCTGCGCTCAGGACTCTTGGTCCGCCTGCTCCACGCAGCGCAGCTCTCGTCGAGAGGCGCGCCCGCCCCACCAGAAGGGCCGCCTCCCCCCTGCGCCGTGGTCTGCCTCGAAGGCGGGCCGGCGGAGCTGGCCCAACCATCTGCCGTGGTCTGGCGCGACAGTGCCGAGCCCTCGCCGTCGAGCAGCCCGCCGGCGGCGTGCAGCAGCTCCCCCCCGCAGCGCAGGACCGCGCCGAGGGCGCCCGGGGAGCCCTTGGCGGCGGCCTCCGGGGGCGCCTCCTGCGCGCCCCACTCGGGCGCCCGACTGCTCGGCGGCGGGTCCTGCCAGGGAGGCGCTGGCCCGGGGGGCACGGCCGCGGGCGCCTCGGAACTCTTCGCCCCCGCCTGCGGCACGGCGATCGCCGCCGCCGCCGCCGCTGGAGTGCCGCGCGGTGCCTCGCCGTGGCGGCCGGCGCTGTCGACCCTGGGCCGGAGCTCCGCCTTGCTGTGCGCGAAGGTGCACGCGCGGCCCGTTTCGCACACAGCGCCCGCCAGGACGGACGGGCAGTACTGGGTCTTCGTGAAGTCCGGGTTCTGCGCGAGGTCCCTGGAGCCGTGGGCGAATCGGCAGTGCTCGCCCTTTGAACACGCGCCGACCTCGAAAAACTTGCAGAGCCTAGTCTTGTGGAAGAGCGGGCTGGGATCGGGAGCGTTGGCCCGCTGGCCCGCCCGCAGCGCCCGATGAACGCCACGGGGCTGACCGCTCTTGGTCGCCCTGGCCATGGAGAGCATGCCTTCGAAATGTGCTCACGAATAGATGTGCTCACGAATAGCCGGATCTCCTGGAGTCGCAGTGAGGGCGAGGAGCAATAACGGCGCCGAGGCACAACCCCCCCTTCTCTCTCCCCTTCTTCCCATCCTCTCCTCTCTCCCTCCCTCCCCCCTTCCTCCCTCCCTCCCTCCAGGTCCCTGTGGGTCTCTGGGCTGGGATGGGCTGGGCTGGGCTGGGCTGGACCGAGGCGGCAGGGAGCCATCCTCGCTGCCAGGGTACCTCAGGTCAGAGATCGGCCCAATTCTCTGCGAGGGTTCCCCCTGGGGCCTGGGGCCCAGGTGGCGCCCTGGGCGGGGCTTGTCTCTTTGCTCTGATGCACCCCCCCGTGCCCGGGTGACTTCGGATCGCCGCTCTGACCTTTACGACCTTCAGGCACGAATTACCTCCTCGCGAGTCTCCTCCCTTCCACCGTCCCTCCTGGTCCTCGCTTGGCCGGCTGGGCCTGGGTTGGGATGGACAGCAAAAGTTCTGAGAGAAGGAGGAGGCGTCATTCTGGTCCAGGCCACCAGGAGCCGAGTAGTGCAAACATTTGTTTCTCCTGGGGTGACCCCCTCTCCCTCCGTCCTCTGTCTCGCAGCTGCGTCCTGCGCTGACACGAGGCGGCTGGGAGTACGGGCGGGGGTCCCCGTGGGAGGGAATCGCCGTGAGGCCCCCTCCCGGGGCCTTCCCCTCTTCTCCATCGCGTTCGCTTCAAGGCCCAGGAAGCGGCTCCTCCTCCGCGGTCCTAGGAGAGGCGCGGGGCCAGGCTCAGTCGGGCGTTCCTTGGTCCGCCCCTGTCATCCCCCTCCTCTTTCTCGAGCCCCTCAAGCGGTGTCGCTTCTTCCCCTGAGCGGACGTTGCGGGGTCGCGGCAGTCGCCGTCGTCTGGCCCTGCTGCCATCTGCTAAAGGGGCCGTGCCCGCGCCCCCACAATGCCGCCTCGCTGGGAGGACACCAATCAACCAACCAACTAACCAACCAACCAACCAACCCTCCCGCCCTCCCTCCCTCCCTCCCTCCCTCCCTCCCTCCCTCCCTCCCTCTCCTCCTCCTCCTCCTCCTCCTCCTCCTCCTCGTCCCCCTCGTCCCCCTCCTCCTCCTCCTCCTCCCCCTCCCCCTCCCCCTCCCCTCCCTCCCCTCCTCCTCCTCCTCCTCCTCCTCCTCCTCCTCCTCCTCCTCCTCCTCCTCCTCCTCCTCCTCCTCCTCCTCCTCCTCCTCCTCCCTCCTCCTCCTCCTCCTCCTCCTCCTCCTCCTCCTCCTCCTCCTCCTCCTCCTCCTCCTCCTCCTCCTCCTCCTCCTCCTCCTCCTCCTCCTCCTCCTCCTCCTCCTCTCTCCTCCGCCTCTTCCTCATCCTCCTCCTCCTTCTCCCTTCCTATGCCCTTTCCACCTCCCCGATCCGTTCTCTCTCCTCCGCGTCGTCCTCCCCTTCCCTCCCTGTCCTGCTCGACCTGTGCGGCTCTCACAGAAAAAAAAAAAAAAAAAAAAAAAAAAAAAAAAAAAAAAAAAACCTGTCACACCAGCAGCTGGACATATGACACTCCACTGCAAACGGCCTCGCTTCTTGCAAGGATAAGGAGGAAGAGGGGGGCCCTCGACCTCCACCTTCCGAACCTTAAAGTCAGCAAGTGCCGGTGCGGCGTGAATGCGGCGACCGCCAAGACGGCTGCGACGGCCTCGACCGCGGCTTCGACCGCGGCCGCTACCGCGGCCGCACCGCGGCCGCGCTGGGGTCGGCCGCTGCGCGGCATCTGCCGTCCAGAAGGTGCGGTAGGTGGAGGTCAAGGGCAAGAAGACTCACCAGGCATGATCAGCGGCGGCGCTCCTGGCATCCTCGCCAATCCCGTCGACTCCGCCACACGGCTGCCAACTTTGTCTGGGGAACTTTGTCTGGGAAAACCGAAAGGTACCAATACCGCTACTCCTCGGACCTCTCCCAGGGTGCGTTCTGACCAGAATGTCGAGGCGAATCCAGCGGTGGCGACGAGGGCCTCCCAGGAGGCCCAAAAAGGGAAAGCGGGCGAAGGGTAGAGGTATGGGTACCTTTTTCTCCTCGGATTGTCCGCATGGGTGGCACCTTGTTACACGTGGCTACACCGCGGCAGCGCAGCCATCGCGAAGGAGGCGTACGGCTTGCGGCAGCAGCCTTTGCAACGGGCTGCGCCTGGTCAGCCTAGGCCCTGCCAAACTGTATGCTCTCAGCGCGCCTCGTGAGCCCTCAAGCTCTAAATCCACAACCGTGTCTCTGGCATTAGGTCGGGCATGTCCTCTTAGAGGCGGATTTGGGAGAAAAACTTGGAAGATAGTCAAAAAATAGTCCAAACAGGTCAAAAAAAAATTCGAAATATCGTCCCCAGACATGTTCTACTATTTTGAATACTCCCCCTGTAGAGGGACGTGCCCGACTGACCTCTGGCACGAAGTGGAGTGCCCCAAAGCTCATGCTGCCCTGAAAGGTTAAGGGCTTGCAGGGTTCTCAGGGACCCAGACCCCCGGTTTCCCGGCCGCTCCTGGGCGCTTTCGGGCGCTCCTGGGGCGTGTCGCGCGGGGGCCTCCGAAACGGTCCCCTCGCTCAGGAGGGCCCCAAAACGGCCCCAAGAAAGCCCCTGGGGGCAGCCCAGACGGCCCACGACGCCCAAGATGGCCTCCAGGCGGCCCCAGAAGCCTCGACGACGCCCCAGGAGGCCTCCACGAGCACTCCCGAGAGGGCCCCAAGAGGCAAGGATCACTGATGTTCTTCTCGGTGTTTGAATGATTATGACGGTTCTCGCCTGCTCGGGTTCCAGACGCTCCAAGAAGGCCCAAGCGGTCTCCGATACGACCCAAGAGGCCCCCAAGACTGTTCCAAGAGGGAGCCCAGACGGGGGACCAGAGCGGAAATGTCGAGCCCTCGGCCCCGAGAGGCCCCCAGGAGGCCCCCAAGAGGCCCCCAGGAGGCCCCCGGGAGGCCCCCAGGAGGCCCCAAGGTCCCAAGAGGCCCCCAGAAGCCCCAAGAGGCCCACAAGAGGCTCCCAAGAGACTCTCAAGAGGTTCCCAAGAAGCCCCACAGCTGCTCTCCGAAGAAACCCCAAGAAGCATCCCTGAGAACCCTGACCCACAACCCAGGCACGGTGGCGGGATGGGCCGAGGGCCATTCGATCCGCCGCCCCCTGTTGATTCATCACAGGGGTGCCTGGCGTGCTGAACCCTCTAGGTTTTGGTTTTGGTTCTTTTTCCAAAAGAACTCCCCTTGGGGCTTCGGCCCGTCACGCCGGCCACCCGGAAGGCGCTCAATTCCCCAATCTCGTCGGTTTTTCACTCAAGCTGGCCGAAGATGGCCTCCAAGATGCCTCCAAGACGGCCAAGATGGCCTCCAAGGCGGCTAAGATGGCCCCAAGATGCCTCCAAGACGGCTCAAGATGTACCAAAGACCGCCTAAGATGGCCTTAAGATAGCCCAAAACGGCCCAAGAGGCTCCCAAGAGGCCTCCAAGATGGCCCAAGACACCCCCAAGAGGCCTCCCAGACGGCCCAAGAGGCCTCCAAGAGGTCCTCCAGGAGGGCCCGAAGAGGCCAAAATCCGCCGACCCCTTGGGGTTCATCGCCGTGTGAGATCTTCCCCCTCCCCGAACCCCTCCCCCGGGAGCCCGGTCAGGTCGATTTGGAGGGGGGGGGGGGGTCCGGCCAAGGTCCCCGATTCTCCCGATTCCCCCGATTCCCCCGATTCCCCCGGGGGGGTCATCCGCTCCCGAAAATCCTGCAGGGACTCCTCTGGTGGCCTCGAAATGGCCCCGGGACGCACTACGACGGCTCAAGAGGACCTCCACGTGGCCTTCAGTGGCTCAAGATGCCCAATATGGGCTCGCCACCCCATGACGTCCCTAAAAGGTCCCAAAAGGCGCCCAAGACGGCCCAAAACGGCGCCAAGACGGCCCCAGAGGCTCCCGAATCGGCCCGCGGCGGAGCCCGAACCGAAAATCCGAGCCTTCCGCTCCCACCTGGCCCTGGGACACCCCACGAGCCGCCCAAAAGGTCCCAAGAGACCCCCAAAAGACTTCCAAAGAGAGTCCGAGAGGCCCAAAAGAGGCCCCAAGAGGGCCCAAAACGGCTATCAGTGAACTTCGGAACTACCTCCACGAGCCTGCGAGATGCCTCCCCAGAGATCCCCCATAACCCCCCCAGGGACCTCAAACCGGAGATTTGCCCCCCCCCGGGCCCGGCACGAGCGCATCACGGGACTTTTCCAGGGTCAAGAGGGCCTAAACACGGGCCAAGAAGGCCCCCAAAAAAGCCTCCAAGACGGCCCACGAGAGCTCCGAGACGCCAAACGACCTCTCCGACTTCGGTAGTCTTCTCTTGCACGCGCCGCTCCTGTCGCCTTTTGATGATTCCCCACCTGTTGCTGCTGCAAGTGTTTCGTGTCCGAGAACGCTCCTTCGCACGCCGCGCACGTCACGTCGCACCTCGTTCTCTCGCCCCTCCGCGCATTTCCGACAGAGCCTCTCCCCCGATAAATTGTGCTTCTTTTGTGCACCCGACATGTCCGCCTGCTCTTTCAACAGCGTCAGACATGTCCTGCTCGAACGCATTTAAGGGGTCGGCGGATGTGGCGTAAGCCTGAAGAATCATTGATTTTCCTTTGGTTTTTGAAGAACTTTGGAATTTGCTTCTTCTCGGCATTCCGACGGCTCAAGACGGCCCAAGAGGCCCCCAAGATCGCCCAAGAGGCCCCCAAGAGGGCCCCATGACGGCCCAAGTGGCCTCCAAGATGGCCCCAAGAGGGCCCCAAGACGGCCGAAGAGGCCTCCAACACGACCAAGATGGCCTCCAAGACGCCCAAGATGGCCTCCAAGACGGCCCCGAAGCGCCCCGAGAGGGTCCCACGTTGGCCCAGAAAGGCCCTCAAGACGGCTCCCGACGGCGTCAGACGTGCCAGGAACCCACCAAGATGGCCGAAGTTGACTCGAAGCTGGCCCAAGACGGCCCAAGAGGCCCCCAAGAGGGCCTCCAGGAAGGCCAGAAAAGGCAAAAAAAACAAAAAACAAAAAAAACAAAAAAACAACAAAAAAAAAAAAAAAAAAAAAAAAAAAAAAAACTTGATGGTCCTAAGGTTTTCGACGGATTTTGACATTTCCTTCTTTTCGGCCTGCCGACGGCCCGAGACGGCCCAAGAGCCCCCAAAGATCGCCGAAAGATCGCCCAAGAGGCCTTCAAGACGGCCAAGATGACCTTCAAGATGCCCACGTGTTCCCCGAAGGCTTTCCAAACCGATTCGGGGAACACATGGTCCGATGGCTTGGCAGGTCTGGCCTCAACGTTCGGCCACATCGGCGCTTCCAAAAAGGCAGGGGGCGGCGGTGATTCGCCGTAGGCGTCTTCGATCCGCCGCCCCCTGTGGTCTTGCCACAGGGGTGCCTCATTGGGTGCCTGCCGTGCTGAGGTTCATGTGGTTGTTGGCTCGTTGTAAGTCTCCCCGTGGAGCTTCGGTCCATTGCGCCCCGGTGAGTGTCTCGTCGCCCTGTGCACTTAAGATGGCAGCCTCCAAGATGGCCAAGATGCCTCCAAGACGGCGACCCGAAGAGAGCCCAAGATGGCCTCCAAGACTGTCCCAAGGTGCCTCCAAGACCACTAAGATGATCCAAGATAGACCAAGATTGCCCAAGATGGCCCCAGAAGCGCCCAAGAGGCCCTGAAGATGGCCCAAGAGACCTCCAAGAGGTTTTTGTCAAGGAAGTTGGAAGTCGGCCCGAGACGGCCCCGGAGACCTCCAAGATCGTTCCACGATGGCCCCAAAAGCCTCCAAGATGAATGACCTCATGACGGCCCAAGAAGCCCTCAAAACGGCTCCGAGACGGCGCCAAGACGACCCAAGAGGCCCCAAGATGCCCAAGATGGTTGTCAAGACGGCCCTGAAGCACCCTGAGAGGGCCCCAAGTCGGTTCAGAGAGGCATCCAAGACGGCCTCCGACAGCGTCAGACGGGCCAGGAACGCCGCAAGACAGCCAAAGAAGCCTCCAAGAAGCTCCAAAAGGCCCCTAAGAGGCCCAATGAGACCCCCAAGAGATCTCCACAAGTCTCCAAAGAGGCTCCCAGAAGGCCCCAAGAGGAGGCCCCAGAGGCTCCTCACCTTTCTCTCGTGTTTCCTCCCTCTCCTCCTCCTCTTCCTCCTCCTCCTCCACCTCCTCCTCCTATTCTTCCTCCACCTGTTCCCCGAAGGGTTTCCACAACGGCTGGGAGAACGCATGGTCCACTAGCGTGGCCAAACTTTGCCCAAACGTTTGGCCTCGTACTTGCATCCTACCTAAAAGGCAGGGGGGGGCGGTGGTTCGCCGTAGGCGTCTTCGATAACTGCCTTGAAGCATAGCGTGCAGCGCGAAACAGGAGCCTCGGCCAAACAACTGTTGCCGTGGGCTCTGCAGCCCGCGCGCCCCCGTATTGCAAGGAGGAACCCACGGAGGGCGACCACTGGCGGAGCTTACCGTGGGGTGGCGCGAGGGGGGTGGCCTTATGGGAAGGCGGGCGTACATCGAAGGAGGGCCCAGAGGCGTCTGAGAGGGTTTCTTCACAGCCGAGACAGGGGGAAGCGGAGGAGGAGGAGGAGGAGGAGGAGGAGGAGGAGGGGGAGGAGGAGGAGGACGAGGAAGAGGAGGGCCCAGAGGGCCTCTGAGAGGGCCAAGTGCCTTCTCAGAAGGCTCCCCGC